TGCGGTTATATGGTTCACCTCGGACAACTAATACAATTAGTTGTCTGAGGGTTCAGGTTACAGGATCTTAGCACGTGCCGAAATTTGTAATCCTTTTAATCCTGGAGAGAGATCACAGCAATTGCTGTTAATAGACCAGAACATGGCAGACGATACGAATATGGTGATAATAATAATTGCTTTATTGAAATCATGTTCATTTGGTATTTATTGGTATTTATTATGAGTCAGTGTGCACATACACGTTAAAGAAGGGTTCAAAGAATGTATCATTGCAAGAAGAAATCGGTTGAAGCGCCACATACATGTGCGTCGCTGACAACGTTCTTCATTCACTTTATTCATTGTTACAGCATTCAACCATATCTGGCTACACGTCCCTTCATCGCCATGAGCCGAGTTCCATTCCCGACTTTCTATTGGGACCGAGATCGTGTTTTCTTCGGCACGTACTGGCTCTCGGCACGTGCCAAGATCTGTAACGTGAACGACACTAATAACAAAGATTGTGTTTTCATTTTGTCACGCGGTCTGCGTTTGATGTGTTTTACACGCGGTGTATACGTCACACGAAACCCGCATTGAAGATGACGCGGCGCGACGACTGTGGTATTTTTTCACTAACTAACGAAGAACAAAATTCATTGAATTTGTATTTGAGTCTGAAATAAACGGCCATTATTTAAGTTCCCGACAAAAAAAGTAGCTTTTGAGACTGACAACGCTTCAGTTTTCAAAAATACAAATACAATTTTTTATACAAGCTTCTAACTATGCAATTGAAATTGGAACAGTCCACGATTTAAAATGTGACGTGATATTACCACTTGTTACAAGAACCATGGAGGTAATAAGAATTAAGGTAATAAGGTAATTCGTATTACCTCCATGCTAGGACGTATCGTCCAGAGTCAACGGGGTTGGAAACGGTTTTTGTTGTAGATGTGAATTCGGTGCGGGTAACTGTGAAGTGATTGCAGCTCGTTCCGGACGTAGTGAAAGATATATATCTGCGTAATCATTTCAAGTACTGACACATATTTGATATATACATGTACATATCACATTTGGTTTAAATCGATGTTTTTGAAATATTTTAAGTTAATTTTATTTGATAGGCTTGTTTTCTCTCATCGAAAAATAGTTTACATTACGAAATCAAAATAATTGTTCTCCACGACATCTTAAAGCGAGGTGGTCGTCGGGCCGCGCATGTGCGACATTTGTGCATTGATAAACACTGATTTCCCCACAATCCAATGCGCATGCGTATTCCAATAAAATCACGAGTACGAGAGTTGACCTTGGCATCGCCGGTGACTCCTTCGATATCTTCTAATCACCTACAAACAAGTATATGAGACCCATATCTCGCACATGCGTGGCGCGACGACCACCGCCCTTAAATCACAGTGTTACATGAAGTTGAAATATATATGTTGTTTTCAAAAAAAATAATACTGATAGCCAGTATAATTTGTTATCGACGGACTGATCTTAGATTTTCGATTGGGTCCCATTTTCACAATAAAACAGAAATAAATTGTTCTCTTCAAGTTATCCAAACCGTAGATAAGTTAAACAATTTTTGTTTTTGTGCGTATTTATAAACTTTTATTGGATTGAACTGAAATTATCATCTTACATACCTAGTTTGTACATTACAAATTGCAATTAATCTGCATGACAACAATTCCCCATTTCTTATTATGAGAAGTAAACCTATTCCGTCGGACAGCAATGAAGTACTCTATCTCCAGGAAATATTTTACATATCTTTTGTATGCCATGAACTCTGGCTTTTGGTTTTTATTTCTACACGAGTAAATATAACTTTTTGCTACCAAAAAGGGGAAGTTGACTAAACATGTAAATGTTCATCCCCGAGAAGGATTTATTGTGATAAGTTAAACAATTGATCATATGCATTTTATATGATTTCTACATGAACTTTGAACTCTGAACTTTGAATTTGATAGAGATGACGTATCAGAACAACGTACAGCATTCATGATGTCACGTGACATGCCAAACGTATACGACAGGGCACGCAATTGTTTTGTTTTTTACATATCATGCGGGAGGTGAAGACAATGTTTACTAATATAATTAGATTTGGGCGTTGAAGTTCAACCAGATATTTATATTATCAAATTTGCTATCATCATTTGTTGCGGGGTAGGAATCGAATATCAACTCAAAATTATTCACATTTTGAATTATAGTTCCTGGGGTTGACTGAAATGTCTGGTGATTTAAGTTATTGTTGCGAATATGCATTTTACATTTAATTGGCAAAGCATATAATAACAACCTGCGTACAATAATAATAATAATAATAATAATAATAATAATAATAATAATAATAATAATAATAGTCTTTATTGAAATCGTATCCTAAAAATGGACATAGATCTAAGTACAATAAAGCATGGTTGTCATTCCATGTTAGAAACATTCAGAATAAAAAAAAGATACACTAGTAGAAAAAATAACTAAACAAAACTAAAACAAAAAACATGTATATGAAACATCACTTCAAAAACAAGCTAAATCATAAAATGTGTTTGAAAGATGCTGTTTTTTGTATGTGAATATGATATATTAAAAGTTGATATCGTGCTCACACACTCCAGTCCATTTCATTTTGAGAGCACTGGAGGGACTTATCCCTTCTAACAAACATATCTATACCATGTAACTGAGCTTCAAGGACACGCAACACTTTCTAACTTAATTAGTGTTCACAATTCTAGTTTAATTCAGGAGGCCTACTTAAATTCCTACTCTTCAGTTAACTTCTTTTTACCTTTTCACAATCTCAATATTTTACGGTGTACATACTATTAGTCAGGAATGATGACTCAAATATTGCAAATCGGGAATACAACTTTAAAATGGAGGACATGTTTATATTAGTTTATGCATAAACCCAAAAAATAACTGAAGATCTTCTCTTGTTGTGACATGGATCGTGGGCATAGTGTACCACAAACTAGCTTTATTATGCCTTACTGTGGTGGGCAGTGACGTCCGCATTATGATATCCAACCCCTTAGGTTGTTTGTTAAATGCGTGTGGCAACCGATTGTTACAGCAATTTAGCAACTGTTACTGGTTACCCGTGTAAGTTTATCAACTGAATACCCCTACGATTGGCAAAACACGGCTGTCAGGTGTCCAATTCAAGTTAATAGCGCTGTCCTTGTATACAATGTCACGTTCACACATACCCGCTCCGAGTTACAACTGAACGTTGTATTATATTGGTGTATACAATGCACTCATTCAGTCGTCGTGATACAACAATAATATTTTCGTGATTTAAAGATATAATATAATCAATTAATCACTCTATTATTTCGTGCAGTGATTATATGCGGGTCCCGGAATCATCATTGTTATTTAAATTTATTAGTTTGAAATTATATAAAATGTCTCCTTAATTGTGTCCTGAGTACCATTCGACCGACTCAGTTGAATAACGTACGTTGCCATGGCCCGTCTATTATCTTGTTTCCTCGTCGTTGTCGTGATTGTGGCATCAACAGATGCTATGAATCGCGCCGACTTTGTCAGCCTACTTAAAAGGAAGCATGCGAAACAACTGCCACCAGGACCGCCACCACCAGGGCAACTGTCACCAGAATTTTCATTACCAGGGCAACTGCCACAGGGACCGCCACAACCAGGGCAACTCACACCAGAATTGCCACAACCTGGGCAACTTACGCCAGGGCAACAGCCATCAGAGGAACTGCCACCTGGGCAACTGCCAGCCGGGCAACTGTCACCAGGAGAACTGCCACCAGGATCGCCACCACATGGACCACCGCTACCCGGACAGCCACCAATGCCGTATGAAAACACTACAATGATTCCTGTAAGTGTACATTCATAACGGCAATACTATTACGACCTGTATTTTGAGGAACCTTAGCAGGAAAGTGATTCGATAGATACAGCGTATATTTGAATATTTTTTGGAGTGATCGTTAATTTATAATATTTGTCTGCTTACTCACCACAATGGTTATGTTTTAATTTTCGAAAATTAAACACCCCCCCCCCAAAAAAAAGCCAAATGCGAAGACTTTTTGACTTTTTTTACTCAAATTCTCATGCGCTTTGAATTACTGGTACGCACTGTTAATTCATCGCATTCACGCGTTTTCTACCTCCACGACCTTTGGTGGAGTTAACATATCATCTCCGTGGAACCGATGTATCCCGACACTTACACGTGCTAAATATTTTTTTGTTTATTTTTCATTATTTGTAGGTGTGTCCTTGTACATATGAAGACATTTTCGAAGGAGAAAAGTGTATACCTGATGAGTGGGTATGCGATGGCTGGTCTGATTGTTATGGTGGCTTAGATGAACCTGATACCTGTCCGTGTGCGATGATGTGTAACGATACCTGTATACCCGAAGGCTGGATATGTGATAACTGGTATGACTGTGAAGACATGTCTGACGAAGCTAACTGTACATACGCACCATGTGTTGGTTATCAATGTAATGTTATATTTGCGCCACAAGGGTGTATTCCCGACGACTTCATCTGTGACGGCTACGACGACTGTACAGGAGATGGCAGCGATGAAGCATACTGCCCCTATGATTTCTCATCGTCTTCAGTATCGTCCTCATCGGATTCGTCGTGGATGTCAGATGAGTGTTTTCACGTATGTGACGATAAATGCATCCCATTCACCTGGATTTGCGACAACTACATCGACTGCGTAGACCAATCTGACGAACCAATGTTCTGTGAATATGATGAATGCTTTGAACACAAGTGTCAGTTACCATATATGGTAGAAGGCTGTCTTCCTAATGAATACGTATGTGATGACGTACCAGATTGTGTTGATGGAAGTGACGAACTTATGTGTCAAAACAAAACTTTGAATATACATGTCCTTGGCGCCCTCGTTGGTAGAGAGGTCACCCCTGCAAAACGAATGATGAGAAGCATGGAGAGATTTATATACTTGTCCTTAGATTATAAATTCAGAGCTATAAACAGGAAAGCCAACTGGGCTGCTGCCCTCATTAAAGACGAAATGGTCAATACAAGGAAAGCAGCAATAAAAGCAATGCTGGTCGCCAAGAACACACACATGTATTCCAGAGGTGACGAAATGAAGTCCCACTTTAGAAGAAAGTGAAATAAGTGAAATAAATCTCTTTTTACAGTGAGGTAAAGTTGACAAAATCGTCGCTCAATTCAAACTAACCGGCCGGAAAATGGCCGTTCGTCGATCATATGAATCAGTCTATAGATTTTTTTTTCATTTCTATGACTTACCATTTCAAAAAAAAACGTTTCTTTTGTGTTTATTCGGACTGGGTACGTTAGTTTAATGTAGTTTAGTCACCATTGTGAGTTGGATTGTATAAAACTTTAAATGTGCAAATCGTACATTACGTTTTCTTAATATTTTTGAAGTTGTTTGTAACCATGTTTATTTTTTTAACCATTTGAATAAAAGTTTGCATTGTACGAATCCTGCATTGTTATTTGGAAGTGGCAACACGCAACATTTGCCCGTGACGTCATATCCTGCCGTCTGTAGATGGCGTCCTTTGGTAACAATTAGAATTGGCTCACTGAACCATAGACTATGACTGAACCCGTCATGTTTAGAATTGACATCCAGTGGGTACCCACCAACAATTGTCGTTGAGCTCAGTATTGTAATCACACACAACATGGTGGTTTGTGATAATAATACGTATTCCTGTCTCTATATAAAATATAAATAAAATACATCTCGCAAGTTGAAAACAGATTGAAAACTGACCTTCCCTGACCGCATGGAATATGGTGATTCTATTTGTTTGACATGTGACGGCAAGCAACAATGATGTTCCTCTTAGTCGCGCCCTCTAGCGACGCCAACAGCGCCGATATTATTTACATTTGTGGTCGACCATCGACAACGAATACTGCTGTTGGGGATTTGTCATATTCTAAATGACGAAGGAGACTCCACAAACAAACAAACATTTCTACTAATCGAATACCAATATCACCGTGACGATATGGTGACAACCGTATCACGTGATGCGAACACTGCCGCATTACGTCATCATCTATTTTTAGAATCCGTACAGGACAGGCGGCATTACTCACAACTATTTTACTCTGAACTTCGGACCTAGGATCGGCGCTACTGATGTTATCAAAATGATCTATTGTGAAAAGTCGCTAGTGACTCTAGAAATGTGAACTTTAAACACGACATGGAGACGGTAAAAATAGTACATTGTAAATATGTGTGCTCGGGGTCAAACGTTCACGTTCTATAAAATGATGGATATCTCAAATATAACAGCAATATTGCTAATTGACATTATTGCAGCTTGTCACTTTAGATGTCACGTGACATGCATAAATCATTGTCGACTATAGCCAATGCCTAAACTCACCGTTGGTAGGGGGTAACCTTAATTTAAACTATGGAATCGACCATTTGAAGTGATAGGGGTGGCCGAAAGATTTGTTAAAAAAAGTAAGACACCGAGCGGAAAAATACATGCAAGGAGTTGCAGTAAACAAATGTTGAAACATTCAAGAACATTGAAAAGGTGCGGATAAGACCGTAAATTGCAATGGTCTTGCTGCCACCCCGTTCTTTTAAATAGCCGACCTCTAACATAGTGCGGTAGGTTTTTCTTGTTTTCCGCTAACAAATGCCATTTAAATCCACATCCGAAAATTATTACATTGTGATTAAGCTCCGAATCCACACCGAAATTAAAGCGACTGAGAATCATTAGATTACCGGTTCCTTGGCATAGAGCTCGTCTTTAAAGCGCGGTGGTTGTCGCGCAGCGCGTGTTCGAATTTCATGTAAATAAACCATGTATTTTACACGCGTTGTATACGTCGCTATGAGTCCTATATCGAACAGGACGCGGCACGACGACTGCCACCCTTTAATATCTATAAATGAAACAACATCAACTAATCTGCAAAATGAACTGTTTTTAATTCTGAGCCACCCTCCTCTAAACTAAATGAATAGTCAACATTTTGAGATGCATAGTTTTGCTTGGCTTGGTATCTGTGTGGGGGAGGTGGAAGAGGCATGATATTCTTAAATTTGTGAATCTTTATTCCCTTTTATTTGTATATTTATTCGTAAAAAAAATAAATTAAACTGTTCTGCTGTTTTGTACACTGTGCATAAACAACATTGTTCCTGTCAATCTACAATTTTGGGTCAACTGTTCCACGTTACGCCCGCGGCCCGCATTGTACAACTGAATGTCCATAAGTTGGCGTGTCACGTGATCATGTAGAGTACTAGTTCTGTTAGTGATGAGCAGTGAATAAGTGATTTATTTGTATGATAACCGGCATGCACGTAGTATGTGAACATTGGTCCAACGTTCCAGTTTGAAACCTTAGTTTTTCACAGTTTGTCGATCTAGAATTGAAAAGAGCTAACATGGGTAACTCGTGTTGTATCGTCGACAAACAAGAACCGTACTATGACAGCACGGAGATACCCGAGAGTTACCACAAAGATTGGATGTCTCGTCTCGACGACAGTTGCGAGCTGGCCATGTTGTCTTTGCCAGGCACTCACAACTCCATGTCCCTGCATGGCGGTGCGCTAACACAATGCCAATCCTGGTGTCTGACGGCTCAACTTGACGCAGGAATACGGTGGCTCGACATCCGCTGTCGGCATTACCAAGAAGGTCTACCAATCTACCACTCTATGATCTTCCAGCACTACAACCTGGACGAAGTGTTCCGTGACTGCGTCAAGTTCTTACAGGACCATCCGACTGAAATTGTCGTCATGCGAATCAGGAGGGAGTGGGACACATCGGAAGTGGACAGCGACAAGACGATGGACCAGAAAGTGCAGGAACATGTGGATAAGTGGGGCGGAGACGATTATTTCTGGACGCATCACCAGTTGCCGACGGTCAGGGAGTCTCGTGGAAAAGTTGTTATTCTATACGACTATTACGGAGGTACCGTTGGGGTGAATTACTGGGTTTTGGACATTGCTGATATGTGGGATGTTAGCAACATCTGCTATTGTGCCATCGAAACCAAATGGGACGACGTCAGAACTCACCTGGATGAAGCTAGTGATCTGGAAAGTACCCGGATGTTTCTAACTTATAGCAGTGGATCGAGCGCCTGTGCCCATCCTCACTCCGTCGCGTGGCGAATCAATCCGAAGTTGTACGATTACATCACTGGTGCGAAAGCAAGATGGGGAGCTGTGGCCATGGACTTCCCCGGATCCGAACTGATCGAACGAATAATACATTCGAACTTTTAATCATGCTTGAACATATCTAATAATAATTTTACATAAGAAAATTAGCAACACTAGACTTAGTTTTATAGACAGTCTTTCATTTTCTGCGACGCCATGCTTGTCTTAGCATGAACTGACCCGAGGCTAGATCAAACGATATGAACTGACACCGTACGGTGAACTGTAACATATCTTATCGTAGGTCGGTACATGTGTGCGATAGTACCAACTGTATGCTGTCCCCGGATGCTGACCCGCGTCATAATCGATATTCACATTTCAAAATATGAAAAAACAACACTTTCAAGTTGGTTGGATAAATATAGCGTTCATTGGCTCAAACATATCAGAAAGTTGTTTTCTCGTAGTGGAATAGACGTACGGCATTAGTTACTCATTGATGATTCATTTAGCCACGTTGGTTGTTACAGGGAGTGGTCAGGTGTAGTGGCGTGAAGTGGGAGGAGACTGAGGGCATTTCGAGTTAAATTATAATCATGATAGCCAAGTTAATCAATGTGAGACCCAACCCAGAATGCCTTACACTTCATATATGTACCAGTCTCATCTCGCCTCACCAGTCTCATCTCAACAATTTTCATACACACAGGTAACCAACAAACACGTGTTTTCAGTATTTCAGTGAACGAGTACTGCAGCTATGTCAAAATTATATAAAACAAGCAACATTATTTTAACCACACTCATAATTTCCTTTTTAGTATTATGACAAAAAAATGACTTTTTTAATATTTCAATAGCTTTAGTAAACTGGGTGTATTTCGCATCATAATTCATTTCATTTTTGTAAAGTATTAATTCGATGCATGCTTAACTAATGAAACCCAAAACTGGGAATAGTTACTCTGCTGCCTACACCAACCCCAAATGCGCAGTTCTGCGCATGTGTAGACTCATGTCACGATAACTACGTTTGTTAGTTACTAGTATACCGTTCATGTCATAGTGACGTGACACTTTGTTGAAGAACTTTATTTACTTACTTTTTAGTAGTCTGCATTAAAGTATATAACTTAGAAAACAAATTAAGCAAACATTATAATACCTTTTTGTGGTTGTTCTTAGAAATATTTTTTCGTGATGATTTTCCAATAATAAACACTGTGTTACATATGAAGAGTGTCTTTTTTGCTGGGCATAGATGATGATGACGATGATAATGATGATGATGATGATGATGATGATGATGATGATGATGATGATGATGATGATGATGTTTTTATAATTTATAACAACTTTTGAACTTACGATAGTAAAACATTCACTTCAAACAACGTCGCTCATACTGCTAGATAAAACAAACCAGAAACAATCCCCGCTTCGATGCATTGGTGGCGCTGTGACATCCGCGTGGTTCTGAGTCAAACTATTTTGAGATCATAGTAGAAATGAACAAACACGACCAGGATATTGACGTTTGTAACTTGTAAACATGTCTGTTTATTAACAACAATAATCCAAAAAGAAGCAATATGAACGAGTACAGATATTTATTTGCAATTGGATTATTCATTAAACAAGGCATAGTTAATTACCCAGTTTATATTTCGATACAGATAACAATGTTTAATATAAAATTCACATCTATAGACATTTTGAAAACTAATATACAAAGAATTAATTTGAATAAAATTCACTCCGTAACATTAATGTTTTGTACACATCAATTGAATTAAACTTATCAAAATATGTCGTCATCAGGTTACTGAATTTGATGACTCCTGGTTGCGGCCATTTTGAAAGTCAATGTCGTCGTCTATGTTCATTTCTTTCTTTAACAGTTCTTTGACTTTTTTCACAAATAACTCCCAATACTACATAAAATAAATCTCCATTTGCTCCGATCTTCTTTTTTCGTTATGTCTGCGCGTAAACTAGCTACGATCGTTTGCATTCTCGTCGCGCCTATTTCCGTGTCGTTAGATTTGTTCTACACATTAGATTGACTCACTTTATCCAAAATTTGTTTTACGCCGTTTACCTTAATTTACAGACAATGCATTTACGCATTCCCTCCATGATATTTTCGTTCATTTCTTTCGGAACGCCAGCGATCTGTCTTCTTTGGTATCTTTGTAACATTTTCCGATGTTACGGTTTTAATTTCCCGGTAGCGGTGCAAACTGTGAGCCACGTGACACGACGGTGTGGTTGCTGCCGTTGGATGACACTGAACTAATCATGAACTTGAATATTAATTTTCTGATACGCCATAATGCTGTCAATCGATCAGCCGGCATTTTAAAATTAATTAAGTATTAGGAAATTGAAAAATACAATAAATCGTTTATAGCACCTTTACTATCCGCCCAGTGCATTTTACGTATTAATTAAATGTACATTTTTTAAGAATGGAATGTCTGAACCGGTCTGATCGTACATTTATCATTCATTATTATGTGAATAGGCATTCTCTAAGACAATATTTCGAGTCTCACTCATAATATTTCGCAATCACAATACTGAAGATTATTTATTTTAATCCATAAATGTTTCGAGAAACAATTGCTTGTTATTTTTCTTTTTATTAATATTAGCTGTGGGTTGTTTTGTTTTTACAAGTCAAACACAATTTAGCATAAAACTCGAAACTGATATCTCTCAAGAGATTTGGTATTGACTTAGGGATGTCCTTTTCAGTGAAGTTAATAATCAAATACTTTTCACAACAGCGCTAAGCGGTGTTAGTTTTAGATCGACATGGCAGCTGAAAAAACAACGACTCTCGAATCGAAAGTGAGAACACGACACAAGAAAGAATTGTAATACAATTTACATTGACTTCGTGGGTATAATTTGATTTAGGTGAATTCGACGCATTTTCGCACAGTAACACGTAATTCTCTGCATCAATTTCGTAGACATTGTCGATGACTGAGGTAGGTTTCGAATTAATAGGTTATTCAGCTGTGAGTAGGTCTTCTGGCATTTCGTCCTCGTCGAAATTGGTTTGAACGATCGCCTGTATGAGTTCAGCTCCAGGGAAATCTGTGATCACCACGCCCCAGCATTGTTGAGTTTCGCTTAGCATGTCGTACACCATCTCATTGATGTACTGGGCTACGTAATGCGGATACGAGCAGTCATGGGGACTCGAAGCGCTGCATTGAGTGATGAACATATTATAGTCACCTTCCGTGGCCTTTTCGAGATGACATTTTACTTGATGCCATTTACGGTCAACATGTAACGGCCCGGACACATCCCACTCGTCGGCTACGTTCAAAGCCCAGTAGTTGATGCCGAGGGTCGCTTCTTCGTAGTCGTAGATAATTACGATCTTGCCCCTTACCTGACTTAAGACTGGAATGTTACTGGACATCCAGAATGCGCAGGTTCCACCGCGTGATTCGATGTAATCCCTAACAATATAATCCATGGAAACCGAATTCTTCTCTTCAGTGTGCTCTCTCTTAATTCGCATCAGGATAGTCTCGCTGGGATGCTCTTTCAGGAATTCTTCGCATTCGAGAATCACGCTGTGCAGGTCGAACTTCTGCGATACGTGTCTGTGGTATATATACAGCTTGTTGCGGTAATGTCTACAACGTACATCGAGAAATCGGATGCCGGCCTCCAGCTGCTGCGACAGCGACCATGCTTGACACTGCGTAGCGGCGCCTCCGTGAAGAGCGAGCGTTGAATGTGTGCCGGGAATCGATATTGCGGACAACGGAATGCTGTCCCGTAGGCGCGCCATCCAGTACGGTGAACATGATTTGGGCACCGGGGTAGTGTCGTAGAAGGGCAGTTGTTCTTGGACAATAACAGGTGTAGTCCCCATCTTGAACTTTCTCTTCAGCACGAACTATACGGATGTTCCAGTACTCCGTATAATATAACTTCTAAAAAATATTTAACTTCCCATAATCCCTAAAGAATCCCTTAAAAACACGTGACACGAACATAATTATAATTCGAATGGATTAATCATTAGATTATGCCTATCGCCAGAGCACTGGGGACATATTCAAATTAGAAATATCAATAACACGTCATTACTCCTCATTAATAATATTAATATAAACTGACATGACTTTAAATTCAAATTAATATTGACTTGTGCAATAAGCGTATAATTGATTGGATTTACGCTCTCTTGAGTTAGAATAACGTATTAGAGTATGTGGTTATTATACGAGTTAACTTCTTACCTATCTCATGTTTTCAAATTTACCTCGTCCGAGTTCTTGATGATCACCACCTGTATCTTGATGATTGTATCAGTAATTATAAAGCATAAAACGAGAACAGAATGCAGCTAAACAATATGAATAAAACAAAGTCCATCGCGGGTCCAATCTACCAGACACATAAAATAGTATACTGACACATCGCAGTGATTGTGACGTTAGTTTTGTTTTTTGGCCAGTTTCGCTGAGAATGTATATGGGTACTCTAAAAAGGAGCCGAAAAAAATAAACGGAAAATTCAATTATGAATGTTGACAATTCATAACACAAGGGGCAATGTAGTATTAAGCCATGAAGCAATATGCATACAGGAATATTGTACTTTATTCGCATTCCAGCTTCAATTTAATTCACCCTTAGCTAGTTAGTTATTTACTATTATATATATATATATTGATTGTGTTTGGGGGGAAATTAATATTGCTTGATTCTTAATAATATATAAGAGTGGTCTGCGCATGATCGACCTTGAGTCGAAGATCGCGTCTTTGGGAGCAGATTGGGTAATGCGTCTGACTAGAACAGAAGGGAGTACCTGTGACGCATTGTAGTGCATACATGGTTTGACAACCTATGGACAGACCTCTTTGTCTCCCCACGAACTTTGACGCCCACACTGTCGTAAGATCATGTGGGCCAATCATTTTACAGAGAAATTATTGATACTAAATGGTAAAAGAAATCCACAGAAAGACGTAAGATCTTCTAGATTCTGTGAAATAACGCTGTGTTCATGCTAATCCAAATTATATATTTTATATTTTATGGAATCTCTAATTATTTTATGAAATGCACATTGCTCTATCATAAATGAAACATACTCAAAATTAACCACCCGCATTGTTGTGCTGACTAAATTTGCATATTCCGATGTATTTTAAATAATTAATAAATTGCACAGAAAAGTACGAGACAAAAAATAAAACATCCTTAGATGCTTTCTAGTATCATTTTACTGGGTCTCGAAATCATTAGTCACAGAAGATTTCATGAGTATACAAAATTGAATGCAGCAATTCCCCTATTCATCTAATGCTATACAAATTTGCTTTAATTCTGACATCAAAACGATCAATCAAATGAGTGCTACTCACTACTCAGCAGGCACTCATCAGATCTTTTCACTTTATTCAGGGTTTGTAGCAGTAATATATGTATATGCATGTGACAGTCAAAGCGATTTGGGTTATATTAACACATTCTAAAGATTTCATTTTTTGAATGTGAAAACAAACACAATTTTCTCGTGATAATGCAAGAATATTAGTTAAAGGGGAAAAAAGTTATCATCAGTCGATTTTGAATAATACATTGTTATTTAATTTATCATTCACTGGAAAAATGACAACCTGGAAGATCATAAAAACATTAATATATCTTGCGTGGGAAAAGGAGAATATAATGGAAATCTATTTACGGGTCCATATTTTAGTGAATTATTTCTGAATGGAAATAAGTACCATTGTGACCAGACTTGACTATTACAACCATGTCCTGAAAACATCAGCTCCACAGTCTTGACGTTAATGTTAAATTTTAATGATTTTTAATATTATGTCAACAGACGCGGACTTGTCACATTGTAACGCAGGTCACGTAATGGAAACATTTACTCCCATTATTATACAAAACGAACTTGAAAGGATACGGTTCAAAAACAGCAGTAAACGCAAATACAATATCAATGAATAGACTTGCTGATATTTGTCTACGCTGTTTGGTATACTGCAGATTCTATAATTCGATGTAATAAGCTGTCTGGGTTTAAGAATACAGGTGATTGAACATTTTGGAAGTGGACATCAGTGTTGCGATTTAAACACTTGTATCAATAACAAATATCTGTAATGCACCAACCCTGTGACGGGCACTGGAGATAACCAGCTACCGAACAATCATACCAACTACACTTGAAAAGGCTACTCACAGATAAGGGCTCAATGCATAAATTATTAGTCGTAATGAAATAATCTGAAACATGAATTACGTCATTTCCGCATTATTATAGGATATCTAATGGAGAAGTACACTCACGTGCCATAATGACGTTTTGTAAAGTTCTATCGGGGTCTAGAAACTGTAACGTGCCTATTGTAATATCTGAATTTGTGCAAATTGCAGCAAATATACTAGTATACTAAATATCTGTCAACGCAACTTAAAGTCGACGATCGTTTCGACTTCCATTTGATTGGACATGGTTTTGAAAAGCCTCAGAGAAGGTTCCAGCACGGAGATCTACCTTCTTTCGGAATTACTGTTCATACCATTAAATATGCTACATAATATCCCCCAAACCCCCCATAAAATAGTATAGATGTTCTCAGATATCTGTGTTTTTCCAAGTTTTTAACCCATGTAACATTGTTTCAAAATGGCATTTGTATAACGGAATGTTAGAATGTTATGCATATGCAAACAGCAGTTATTTTTTGTTTGGGAAAAACATTCGCTTTATTTCCTACTAATTGTATGTTACCTGGGGATCATTCGCATGGAACTTCAAAGGCCAATTGTGTTCAGTATTACATGGAAATACAAAAAATATATATATATAGGCTGCGAACACACACAGAGACCACTACCGATCCGAGTACGCCCCCAGTTAAATAGGAATTTATTTCGATATCCTTGATAATAATTATCTGTTTACGAGTGACCTCGTGGGACCATAGACTAATAACGTTAGAAATGAGAAATAATTGAAATATGTCTCCTGGGTCAACGACCTAATATGCTGTACGTCATATGCAGTGTTATTTTATTGTGTATCTACTGACTAGTTAACTTCACATCAACACACTTGTTCGATCCATAGATGATGTTAGATGCGACGAGAAATTATTTAAAGGGCGATGGTCGTCGCGCCGCTTTCTGGTCGATATGGTACGTTTTTTTTTGTCTTAGTAACCTTGGATATGGGACTCATAGCGACTTATACAGCTCGTGTTCATTGATTGTTTACGTAAAATTCAAACACGATGGTCGTCGCGCCGCTTTTGTTCGATATGGCACGGTTATTTTCTTACCAACCATGGATATGGGACTCGTAGCAACGTATAAAACGCGTGTACATTATTTACGTACAATTAGAACACGCGCTGCGCGACGACCACCGCCCTTTAAACATTAGATTAAAAATGCAATATGGATGACATTAAGTGGTTGTTAATAATATTGTTTGTATTTTGGTGAGTGCATTGGATTGTGGTTCACGTACTAGGATGGTAACTCCAGTTGGGTGCAATCGACACATTCATTTCTGGCATTATTTCCAATGTTCATTGTAACGTCGTATTCACATGTAATACAATGCGAACGAGATGCGTTGCACTGCATAACAGTTATGACTACACTTCGAACACGACAAGGCTCGAAAGCCGATGACCAATTTCTAGATTTATATTTTGAGATGTCCCACTGGCGTCAATATCTAAGTTTCTCCTAAACGCTAGCAACTACAGTGCGCTGGGGCAATCCATCAATTTCTGTTGAGTTATGATTCGTGACAGGGTTATATCCAAAATAAGTAAAAAATGACAGGCTATTCAAACAAATCAATCACAGGAAACGAATACGTAACTAATAAACACGTAGAGTAGTTTATTACGTCAATACAGTATATCCACTGATATACCGGAGAATTTACCATAAAGCTAGTAATACATAAACAGGAAGAATACAAACGTTAAACACAAGAACGTGGTAAAGACTGGCGCTAAAATAGTTGCACGTCCTATTTATAGGCTTGGTAGGATACTGAACACTAGGCGGTAATGTCCTTCATTGGCCGATAGTTAACATTACAGAATTACTGTAAAAGGAATAATTATTCACTGGGTTTAATTTTGCTTATTTTGCTGACTGGAAAATGTGCTAAATTAAAACCCAGTGAATATGTAAAATTGAGCTTAGAACACATTATCTAAATGATAAAATCGTGAATTTAAAACCCACTGAATATGCCTGAAATCATAAATCAGCGAAATTTAAACTCAGTGAAAATTAGTCATTTTACAGTACGTAATAAAGTGGTGTTTTCTATCACATTCGCACTTATGTCAACAACAGGTCTATTTATAGACATTGTTTAAAGCAAAAAAAAATGTACGTATATCAAATATGTAAAATAAACACTCAAACACAGTATTTACGAAAACTACGATAATGCAATAAATGTTTTCGAATGATAACGATCAACAATCTTAACACGACAATTTTATACACTATATGCCATTGAAAAACTGTTATAAAGTGTTTAGTAACATAAGTATAACACAAGACAAAACTACAAACTGAATGTAATCTTTCCCTCCCCAAAGTTAAGAAAAGATGTGGTAAATTTTCTATAATATATATTGGCCCGAAAATATCATGGAACACAATTTCGATTCATATTAGATCTATACAGTCAAGAAACGTATTTAAAAAAGAATACAACAATATCGTTTGCATGCATAGTTAACTCAGTGTTTTCTTGTACTTGTATAATGTATAATGATGAATCATACTGAGATACCGCTGACGTTACATATAATAAAGCGCCAGGCCACCAAATATTTGTACTGAACGATCTATTGTGAATAGTTGAGTGAAAACGCAGAAGTTCCGAAAGTACAGAAAAGGTAATGTACATCGGATACGTTTTACTTTTCAAATACTGAGTTTTATAGCGAATTAGCAGAATATATGTACCGGGTGTACATATGAGATGCAGATTTAACTTCCAACCTCGATACTAAACTACTATATATAAACAGAGGTACATTACTTGGGGTTTGCAACTCGCATAGTACTGTATGGTGACATCATGTCAAGATCCCATTCAAGTCTCTTCTCGTAGATAGCGAGACTGAGGCTACGACCTTCTGACATGACACATATCAATGTTCAAGGTTTGTAACGAAAAAATAAAACTTTTCTTGTCACTATCATAGTGAAAAATGTAATACATCGAAAATGTACAGAAAATATAGTTCTCGTAATCCGTCATATCGTGGGCAGCTATTTTGATCCACCTGGACATCCCAGTATCCTAGTTACCTCGGGCATGCGCATTCGCATTTTTCTGAGTTGGAACGTTTATGCGAGAGCGAGATTGTGACGGGATCTTGGTATCATGTCACCGTAGTTACAAACCCCAAGTAATGTACCTCTGATATAAAATATAACTGCAGGGATTGTTTTTCCTGAGAGCAAGTCTAGACATTAGTTTTCTTTGTTTTCCCTTAATTTCAGCCAACGTTAATTTCGTTCTTCAAATACTTCAGCTCTCTCAGATTACAAATGGATCGTCCCTTGCACGAGTCACAGTCTATCTATGATAGAGGGACTGTGCACGAGTGAATAAGCTGTAACTTGTTTGTCGTTATTTCGTCTCTTTTTGTAATAACTATCTGTATATATTAAATTACTCCTAGTAACTGCTATCTACTGAGGACATTCGTGTTTCAAATAAACTTATCACAGTTGCTGGAACCCATAATTCAGAGGCAATTAATGGTCGAGAAATATAGTCCCACCTTGAACTGGCTTTGAGTCTTTCTACTAAGGGGCAACAGTAGGAATTCAGTCCAAGCAGATAGCGCCACCAACGGTGTTACACTGTTTTGTGTTTGCTTTTACCAATTCTATGCACCATTTCTCAGCGTTGTGAATCAAGATTGCGGTAATTTGTGTCAGAACAAGTAGTTTTGTGTCTGGATAAACGTCTCTCTGAACTGAAGACCACCATATGAACTTGGAAATTATCCGAACTTCAAAAATCACTGGCGAGCAGTGATAAACTTTGACATGTATTAGTTGTTTGGTAAGTCGTTCCTCCTGTGTGATGGCCGCGAAATGCGTTTTTGTGACACTGCGTTATTGTGAGACACAAAGATAAACCATTGTTATTTCATCGTCTTCGGATCACTTAAAATTATTTGACATCATTTAAAGGTGAGTTTATGATTATCTAATATCAAATGTCGTAGCTAGTAATACCAACTTCTCCTTGGCTCAGCGAATGTACCGGCGACTGACTAATAATACCGACCCTACTCTATCCTAGGACAAGGTCCTTTTTGCAAGAATCGTTGCGAGCGCATGTGAGCCTTGGTACCACCATTTTTTTTTACCTCCATGGTACCACCTCCAGAGCATTGTGCCGTTCCACTTGTCGGGAATCACCATTGTGGGGGTGGACAACCTAGTAGCGGAACAGTGGTCTGGAGTCTAACCAAATGATTCTAGACGTTCTTGTTCTTAGGACACACATAGGGGGTCCCACTAAACACAGCCCGGGGACTACTCTATTGTTTTTAATTACGACGAGATAATCACACCAAAGAAATCTTTCCTTCTGAATTGCGTAAGTAAAATATGTGTTTGTGTACCATTACTGTTGTCCCTAGGCTTCGGTTATTTTTTTTTTTTTTTTTTTTTTTGGCCACACACAGTGTATTTGTGTTCTAACCCACTCCAGCACCCACAGGCAACTTTTAGACCGGAATGTACGTCCCGGGAGGCCCCGGGAGGCCCCGGGCTGTGTTTAGTGGGTCCGCACATAGGTACCCCTCTGAAATAATTGTTACGCTTGTGTGTATTAGCTTAGCTGAGGTTACGTAACTTTCTTGGTTTCACTGCTGTCCATTTTTTTTATCGCTGGTACATGTAAAACTTGGTGACAGGACGGAGGAAAAATAACCTACCGGCAATAAGAAAAAAATGAACTAAAGCGAAACAAGGAGAGCTACAGAACTGCAGTTAGCACATTTGTTCTTTCACCTAGGCTAGCAATATCTTAAGTTGGAGTTTCATTTTATTATAGTTTACTCTCCCTCTCGAATGAACTTCCTTTAACCAAATTTTTCATATCACAATTATACATTTATATTATTTTACTGCTTTAACCTTATCTTAATCCTAATACTTCAATAAGCACAGTTTGATAATAAATTTAATGTATTACATTTTAGCACATCCATAATGTTCCAGTTTGGGCAACAGACTACTACAGCTGGTACTGCAGGCACCAGTTTATTTTCCAGTACTGCACCTTCTCTAACAGGAGGTAAGACAATAACAAGTCGGTAGGCTGGTTGGCGATTCGCTCTGCTCAAAAAACAAGCAACATGTTTTCGACTATTTCTATGGTAGGACATGAACGTGAAGCTAAAGTCGATTTATAACTAAATGGGCCCCGTATACGAAGTTTGCAAAAAAATTCAGTCTTTAGAGGTCAGTTAGTTTATTACTAGAACGTATTCTGCTGTTACATTTATTATTTCCAACCGTTTTGCCGTAGTATTTTCTAGAATGAAGGCAGCATTTACAGTTCATTCAAAGTTCAAAGTTGCTTTGGAATTACGTTGATACAATGTCAGCGTCTGTGATCTCTGACCAGTGCGCAACATAGCCAAAAAAAAGCCTGATCATTCGAACACTGCTATTACAAAACTGGTAGGAGGTAATATATTTGGGGCGAAAATATTAAAAAATCAGTTTTTGGCTGTTGCAATGGCAGTGGTGGGCCAGGATTTTTTTTTCAATTAGTGACGGTACGACCTACCTGTCAAGTATGAACTAATGAACAAGTATGTCCATGCTTTTTAATCTTAGAATTGTAGGGTGAGATACTTTTGGCGCAAAGTTTAAACCAAATCGGCCCAGCCAAAAAAATCACATTTGGCACGAAGCTATTTTTCGGCTGTTGCTATGGCAATGGTGGGCCAAAAATTTTTTTCAGATTTCTCCTAATAACTAGGGTGAAGGTGGTGACCTACCTGCCAAGTTTGAGCAAAATTGGCCGAGCCCAAAAAATCACAGAAGTAATAATACGTGAAAACACTGCAAATCACATGGACATACACACACAAAGCCACAAAAGTGATTATAAGGGCAATCCTAGCGGAGCGGATCGCCAATAATATCATTACACTTTGAATGTCATCATTATTCCTCTCAAAATTTTGTTTCAATATTTTTCACTTTTTTGTGTATTTTCTTCGTAAATTTGGAGCCAAATGTACATCATTATCCGCTAACTACAGATTAGCACTATTATTATTAGTACTTGTGATTATGTAAAATGCAGAAGTATGTCTTTAGTCAAAATAAGTATTTTTAGGATTCAGTATAAAACAAATACAAATGTAATGTTTATGTATGTTTTTATTGGAGAGGCACATCTAATACAGCAAATCCAGCTTAATAAATTGGGCAAAATCTTTCAAAAACTTTTTAAATATTGCAAAACGTTAAATTGTGGATAAGTATATTTAATATACAGGCTTCTAGCTTTACTTGTTTACTTACTAAGGAGTTATTTTGTCTTTTGTTATCACAGTAATTCCTTGCTGAATACTATGAACCACTACAATTCAATCACAACTCTTAGTGCTTTCTACATCTCCCACCCTAATCTATCAAGCCTCATATTTATGTTTACTCTTAATTTTATACATTTCTGGGCTTTAAAAATATTGACTATTGGTATATTGGTTAGTTTTAGAGAATTGACAAAGGTATTAATGTCGCATGATGTGTTAATTTTGCAGGTGCAATTGCATTCGGTGCAACAACCACATCAACGGCTGCAGCTCCTGGTACTACATCAGGCTTTCAGTTTTCTGGTTTGTCTAATCCGACAACTCAGGCTACAGCGACTGCTCCTGCTTCTGCTTCTGGTTTCACATTGGGTACAGCCCCACAAACATCCACAGCTACTGCAGCACCTTCTGCGGGTGCTGGTTTGTCATTCACTGGCACACCTTTGAGTAGTACAACTGCTGCAACAGCTGGATTTGCTACACCGTGTACTACAGCGACAGGTTTAGGGATAAGCTCTACAGGTAAGGTGGTATAGAAAGTGTAGTGGAATTATTTTAACACTCACTCGGTTGCATGTCCGGATGTCATAAATCACAACGTTCTAGTACATGTTTGTCTGCAGAGCTTCTTTACTAATTTAAAATACCGTATTGATTGAGGGGAAACAAACTTAACATACATACTTATAACTGTTGTTGCATTGAAATAATTTTACAAGGCTAGGGCTTTGTTTATTAGGATTCACAACGAATCAATAAAAAGCCGCAGTCAAAACAATTTATTTATGATTAATTTAAAGTTATCTGTTCAGGTCGCTTGTTGACACCCATTTTTCCCCAAATTGATTTTGGTATCTCCATGTTGTTGTTCTTTGTAACAAACGTTTTTGGTCAACCATCAATATAACAGCTTGACTCGTTGTATTAAATTGACAAACTTTTAGTTGTACATACGTGTAATGATTTGAGGCTATGACGTTTAGTTATTTGCATAATAGATGAAGCATGGAGGTATAAACATACCTCCAAGGATGAATGCAAACCTCACACTAATAATCACCTACTATCAAATTTTGTTACTTTTCCAAGTTTCAAATAGCATCGCTTGTTGTTATTCAGTCATGGTTTGATACAACAAAATAATGTTACTCTTTGGTTTGCTGTAATTTACACTGGTAATTTTCAAGTTTGATTTATTGTGAAAAACTGTTTTCAAACACTGTCAAATGCTGAAATTAACCATGTTTTTTTGAACATTAGTTGACTTAACCTTTGATCTGATTGGTCAAAAATACAATAAACTAATCAGAATACAGCATACATGTAGTATTAGTAACATCTTCTGAATATTGACACACAAAAACACATCCTGGAATTTAGTTTTGCTATTATCAAAGTCGCATCATTGATTTCAGTGCGTTATATTTTAACAACTTTCATGAAATTTATTTTATCTCTTTATGCAATGAAGTGTTTTCAATGATGCTAACTCAGCTGCATTCATAATTTGAAACGTTTCGAAATTTCAACTTAATTCAGTATTCTAAAAATGATTATGTAAAAGTGGTCGAAAATTTAGTGTAATATTCATAGAGGTTATTAGCAGACAATGTATTTATGAGAGAATAATTATGATGAAACTCGTTCATTTATTATAGGAAGCTACGGATTTGGATTG